GGGAGAGAGGAAGAAAGGAGAAGATAGCTGTTTATTTTACTGAATCATTAATTCACCTTGAAAATATAAAATGAGTCCTGAAACTCTATCTTTCAGACATGGCAGATAGAAAGATGCGGGTGGGGGAGCCAAGAGATTTCCTCTGTGCACTGCTCATGTTATACCTTTTATTAAGGCCTCAAGGCATCCATCCCTCTTCTCAAGTGGATCACTGATGGGTTCGGGCAATCAGCTTAAGAGAAACCACACATGGCTAGGAATGGCACCGCCTCTCTTCGAGACCAGATTTCGAGCTCAATAATGCAGGAAATATTTCCGGATGGACTTCACCTCATTGTGATTATTTCATTCTTCCCTGTGCTTCTCAAGTCAATGTTTATTTAGCCCTGTTGTTTAAGGGCAATGAGAAAGATAAATCGGATGGTTTCGAGGTGAGTGCCCCTCCAAATTCCCTAGCTGCACGGTGTCTCGACCTCTGTACCTCCACTGACTTCAAACCCTATGCCACCGCAGTCACATGAGGTGGCAGCCCCATCCCAGACCACACCATAATGGGAAACCCCTTAATTTCAAAATCTCAAACTCTAAAATGTACCCTTCACAAAACTTCCTGTTTTTCTACTGTGCAACTCAGTCTATTCTTGGTGACTTTTTGCACCTCAGGCCCTCTCAAGTCATGAGTCCATCACCCCGGTTCTAAGTGGTTCCTACCACCACCCCTCAATTTTCTTCTTTCTAGTATAATTCCCAGACTTAGATTGCTGATGGGATCGGCTACTTAAATGTGGTCTCCATCCCCACAAAGGCATTTACTGCTGCATGAAATTCTTCCTGAGCCTTGTGTTGACTCCCTGTCAGAGTCCTCGCAGCCACCCCAAGGTAACCTCTCTTGACGCCCTCATCTGGACATGATTTCTCCCTCTTCTGAACCCTCATAGCTCATGTTTATTACTCCCTCATGGTTTTCATCGCTTTCTGACTCAGATAACAGTTATGTGTCTGCTTGTATTATTTCTCTTTGAGGCCTTTTAGGGTTTTAATTTCTTATCCATCTTTGCATCCCAGTGCCTAGCATTAGTGACTTTTCCCTGAATCAAAAAGGACAACTCTTCTACAAAGGAACTTAAAAAAAAAAAAAGTAATAGCTTCATCAGAATATCAACTGCAAAAGCTCTGAAGCAAATTAAAATGTGCAACAAGAATATTAGTTTCCTGTTGCTGCATAATGAATTAGCACAAATTTATCAGCATAAAACCACAGACATCTCATCTCACACTTATACAGGTCGGGGGTCTGAACACACGTAACTGGGTTCTCTGCTTGCTGTCTTCCTTCTGAACAGGGCAAGGGGAGATATTGGGGTCCTTTAGCCCCACACACCCCTTCAAGCAAAATTCGCCCTTTTTTTCCTTCCATCTTCTGAGATAGAGAGGAAAGAGACTGTAATGTCCCTTTTGCAGACGGGAAGTAAGAGGCTGAAGTTATTTGGAAAGAGCTTGTTCCTTAGTTCAAAGAGGAATTGTCTCATAGTCAGAATTTTCTTCTTCACCCAAAGATAAAAGGGACTGACACAGACATTGGGAACCCCCTAGAGGAAGAGACGTATTGAAGAAAAGAATTCCTTTCTCCTGGGCACACCGCAGAGCTGGGTGTGTTCAGCTCTCTCCGACACGCGGGCCAAGCTATTGAAAGCGATGACCCCAGCCGAGGTGGCAGCCCCTGGGGGGAGAGGTACCCTGCGTGGGCGGCTGTGGGACAGGTGCTAACACCCCCTCCCCTTGAACGACGCGGCTACACCTACAGGCCTTCCCCTCACCTGCTGCCTGCGTGCTAGGTCCCCTCGGCCAGCGTGAGCTGAGGCCCTGCTTCCTCATTTATCAGGTGAGGGGCCCACGGCCAAGCTGTCACGGAGACCCAATGTTTATGGCTATAAATGGAAAAGAGCTGCACACGCTGAAGTCAGAACCATCACTGTCACTCACCGGATCCATCCACTGCCTGCCTTGCCCGTCTTAACTTCCCAGTCACTACAGTCTTGCGATGGATCTCCCTCTGCTGGTTAATAAAGGTCCATCAGGATTTCGCATTTTGGTGTCTCACAGAAAAAAATATACATATATACATATATAAGACATTGTCCCATTTTATTTGCTACTCATATTAGTTGGTTAATTTAGTCATCTTCACAGCCAAGGAACGGAGTCCTGACAACCCACATATAACTCTAATCAGTACAAGGCAAGCCACGCTGCAAACGCAGAGAGAAATGGTGGCTTCGGGGAAATCCATGGTCAGTCTCTTCATTTCTACTTCTGACCAAAGCGGTTGCTGCCCTCTCTCCTCCTCGGTTCTGCATTTGACTCAGTCCTGTCCCAAGAGCACCCACTTGTCCAATAAACGTCCTGCTGGTGAATGATCTGCCTGGCCCATGCCACAGCACAGCGGGCGAGGGCACTGCGGGGACCCGGCCGCACGGTCAGTTCCAGCAGAACCTGGGCCCAGGCTGTGCGGAGCTGGGGCTCAAACAAGGGCACGAGCCGACCGGGCGTCTTAGCTTAAGCGTATCCTCTGACGTTGGTGTGGGGAAGGGGAGTTTGTTCCATATACGATGACTTCCCTCAGGAACAGAGGTGGGTTAGTGTTTCACTTGATTTTTTATTTTCTTAGGTTCTTTAAATTCCATGGCTCACGTCTGGTTTCTCTTTCAATATCAACTCACTAAGGAGCACCCACAACAGACAGGGTGCCTTTCCCATAATGTCTCCTTTGGTCCTGCCAGCCTCTTCCCTTCTTTTTTCTTAAACAGCTTTGTTGAGATATACTTCACATAGTATAAAATTTACCCTTTCAAAGCATATAACCCACTAACTTTTAGCATATTCAGACTTTTGTGATCATTTTCACAATCTAATTTTAGAATATTTTCATCAAAAGAAGCTCCAGCCTCATTAGCAGTCACTCCCCTTCCTCTCCCCCCCTCATCCCTAGGCAACCAGTAATCTACTTTCCGTCTCTGTCGATCTGCCTGTTCTGAAGGTCTCATTAACATGGAATCACACAACATGTGGTCCTTGGTGACCGCCTCTTCCACTTATGTTCACCTTCTTGAAGCTGCTCTTTCACGGGCGTAGCAATCCATCGATCCATATCCTTGCATGTGTCTCAGCTTAGAAAACGTAGGAACCTTTTCCAACCCTCACTTTCTCTTCACTTTCAGACACCTGCTTTCATTCACTGAAAGTAAAATATTATGACACTTATGCAAAATGGGACATAGGGGTGTGTGTGTATATATATATATATATATATCATCTTCCAAATTTAGAATATAAAATAATTGAGATGTATAGTGATGAATAGTGCAATCCATCAGTTCAGAATCCTAGAAGCTACCAAACCCCATTCTCTTCTCCTAAACCAGCAAGGAAAATACAACTTCTTCCAACTCCTTATCTCAGAGCCTTTCTATTCTCAGTCACGGTGCTGAATTTCCTTAGCAGCCTAGAAACCAGAAAATGTTGTATATAGAATAGATGCAGACCGTTTTCCCCTAGGACAACATCACACAAAGTATACACTTGTTTCTTTTTTAAAAATCGCCAATGCAAAAATGTTAATCCCGTGTAGGTACAGAAGAGGAAACACACGGTACCGTCCAGGGGTCTTTCTTTTTTTGTTTGTTTTTTCGTATCCTCAAAATTAATCATACAATAAAAATAAAATAATATTTACATACATCAAAGTTATGGGCTTCTAAAATAGAAAGATAGATTCGTTCAGCATCCAAGTGTCTGGGTAGCTGAGTAATCCCATTGTTTTGAATCCTGAGAAGTTGCGTCCCTCTATATGCTTTTGTCTCCACTTCATCTGAAAGCATTGGCATCGTTTTCTTACGGTGCTTCCTTAGAAATACCTTGCATTTTTCCAATTTTCCTTGAGGACTCAGACGCACTCTCTGAGCTCCAGCGCCGGGCAGCAGCTTGAAAGGAACCTGGGACATTCAGGGAAGAACCAACTTGCTTGGAATCAGGGTGAGGGCTGGAGGGGCAGCTGCCGCCCAGACAGAAGAGCTGGCGGAGGCCCTGGCTCCTTGGATGAGCCCTCCCCACACAGCCGGCAGGCAGGCGCCGTTTCTGAATCTCCAGCACCTGACTCACACCGTCGGCCCTGCCCCGGTGATTCCCGGAGACCTGTCCAGGGGTCTTTCTAATTACTGAGTCTCTATGATGACTAATTAACCTCTGGTTCTTTGTTATTCATGATAAACTTCTGCACAGGCATATACGTCCTACAGAGCTAGTTTCTGGTTCTCTTTTCTGGTTACACAGTGAAGACAGAAGAACAAAGATGACTCTATAGCAACAGCAGATAATTGTCTAGGGATTCCCAATGAGCCAACTGGTCAACCAAGTCTTACAGATGACAGACATGTAAGCATTCCTATTACAACAAACTTCTTTTTGTATGAAGTTGACAAACCTTTGACCCGGTATGGTTACTTTGTTTTGAACAAACCCACAAAGAAATTAATACATAATTTCCAGCAATAAAAAATAGGTTAAATAGGAGAACTAATCTAATTATTTAGACAATTCTTTTTTTAAAAAGATCTCTCTGTATATTAATAATAATCTCTGTCCTACCTACAATGAGATGCTATGAGGAGGCTGGCTGGTCTCCTGACAGTCTTGACCAGTACTGACATCTCTGGTCCTTAAAGGAAGGGATGGAATAATGAGGGTGAAGGGGCACACCAACACTACTAACTACAAAAATACTTGTGGATTGCTTGGCTTTTTGATGTATTAGGTCATAACTGATGAAGGATGACATCTTGAGCTTCCAGATACTTCTCGCACATTTTTCTATCCCTGTGTCAGTTGTGGGTTTCCATTAGAAGAGTGTAGAAACTGTAATTCAGCCCACAACTAGAAAAGTTGTAGGTCAATGTTTTAGTTGACATGTTTCCTACACTGCACACCTGAAATAAATTCCATCATTAGTAACGCCAGGAGAAGATTCTCTTCTTCCATCTGTTTAGGGCATCTTTGATTTCCTTATTTCTCAGGCTGTAGATCAATGGATTTAGCATGGGGATGACAGTAGTGTATAAGACCGATGCCAACTTGTTTTGGCTCTGGGAATCGCCAGAAGTAGGATACATATAAACAAAGACGCCTGAGCCAAAGAAGAGGGTCACTGCGGTCAGGTGAGAAGCACAGGTGTTGAAGGCCTTGCACCTGCCTTCAGCTGAAGTGATCTTCAGAATGGTGGCAACGATATAACCATAGGATATCATAATAACCAAGGCAGATATGAGCCCAAAGATCACTGTGAGCACAGACATCATGACTTGAAAATAAAAGGTGTCAGAGCAGGATAGGATTAGCAACTGGGGCACGTCACAAAAGAAATGGTTGATGACATTTGGCCCACAGAAATGCAGCTGAAGTAAGGCGCAGAATTGGATCAATGAGCCAAAGAATCCCGTTATACAAGACGCTGCCACCATCTGCACACAGAGGGTGGGGGACATGATGGCCGTGTAGAGCAGAGGGTTACAAATGGCAGCGTACCTGTCATAAGCCATGGCTGCCAGGAGACAGCATTCAGTCAGACCCAGGCTAGAGAAGAAGAAGTACTGTGTGGTACACCCCATCAAGGAGATGGATTTGTGCTTCTTGAAGAAGTCTGAGAGCATCCTGGGGGCGATAGTGGAAACATAGCAGATGTCCAGCAAGGACAGGTTACTGAGGAAAAAGTACATAGGTGTGTGCAGAGAGGGGTCGGTCCTGATGAGGGTGATGAGGCCCACGTTCCAGGACACTGTTATCAGGTAGATCCCTAGGAATACTGAAAAGAGGACAATGGTGAGTTTTGGAAATTCAGAGAATCCCAAGAGAATGAACTTGTTAATCATCGTACTGTTCCTTCTTCCAGTCATTGCCTCGGTGACCCTAGGATCTGTAGGCAGAGAAGAAAATGAATCTCTAAGTCAGTTGTTATCTCAGTTTCTATTGAAATAAACCACCTTCTACCCACAGTGAACACAGAATTAAGAGAAACACTGAGCCATTTTAGATGAAATAACCCTGGTTAACTTTGCCTCTAAATAGCTATAATGGTTTTGTGCATCAACTTTCCCACATATAAAAGAGGACAATTACACTTTTTATTATTAACCTAGCGGGCCCTTAAAATACAAAAGACAGTATATTAACATTTTAAGACCCTTCTCAAAAGATGCTTAGGAAATTTGAGGATATTACTAATGGGGTTATAACTCCTGCGTATAGCTTAGTGACTAAGAGCATGGCCTTAGATGTCATGTGGCTGGTTTTGGATTGTGGCTCTGCTGTGAGCTTTTTCACTCTGAACAGGTTGTCTATTGTCCTTCTGCCTGTGGCTTTATCTGTAAAATAGTAATAATAATAGAACCTATCTCACGGGGCTTCTTTAAGGTTAAATTAGTTCCATTATGTACAGTGCCTGCTATGTATACAGTAAGTACTCCATGAAGTGGTATCAGTCGGGGTATCTTTCTAATACAGTTTTGAAGCCCTCCTTCGGTGTGTGGAAAACTTTTAAAGTTTAAATGTGAAAGGGTTGGTCATAGAGATAACATTCTCATGCTACAGTGTGATTAAGTTATAAATCAATAACAAATTGGTAATTAAGAAACATCATAATTGGAAACCAATTACATATTTCTAACTTATTCTCAAGTCAAATAATAAATTATAATAGAAATTATAAAATACTGTATTGTAACTTAAATATAATGAAACTATTTATCAAATCTTGTAAACTTTTTAATTGAAATATAATTGACATATAAACAGTGTGTAAGTTTAAGGTGTATAATGTGCTGATTTGATGCACTGATATATTACAATAGTATTACCATCACAGCTTTAGCTAACACCTCTATTACATTACATAATTATCTTTTTTTTTTTTTTGGTGAGAACACTTAACAAATCTTGTAGATTTAACTAAAAATTTATGTAGAGAGATACAGTTGTGTGGTTTTTTAAAAATTTATCTTTATTGTTGAAAATATTACAGTTGTCCCCTTTTTTCCCCATTGGCCCCTTTAACCCCGCACCCACTCCCCACCCCAGGCCTTCACCACACTATTGTCTGCATCCATAGGTTACCCATGAGAGATACAGTTGTTTTCAGTGAATATAAAAGATTAAAGAAATTAAATGATCTGATTATAATTCTTAGGAAAGAACAAAAAGTTTTAAAATTAAGCATAACTTCATAATAATACCAGAAAATCAAAGTTGATTCTTGATATATTTATGACACCAAGCCAAACAAAAAAATTTAAAATAATGGAAAAGGAGATATAGTGCTAGATCTGGTAGAAATATAAAGGCAATAAGAGGATACTCTAAACAATTTTATGTTGATAAATTTTAAAACTTAAATAAAATGTAAAAACTTTTAGGAAAATGTCACTTTCCAAAACTGACTCAAGTAAGAATAGAAAATTTGAATATTCCATAAACACTAAAAAATTGAATCAGTGGTAAAAATCTTCTCATGAAGAAAACTCCAGGCCCACATGGTTTTATCAGCAAGTTGTACCAAGAATTAAAAGAAAACAATAATCCTAATCATACAAAAAATTTTCAGAGAATGGAAATTTGGAGTGATTTCCAACTATATTTGGGGAGTATAACAATATCAAAACCTGACTAAAAAGGGAATAATAAAGGAATATTATAGCCATACTCACTTATAAACTTAATAGATTAGAAACATCTTAAGTAAAATTTTAGTAAACTGGGCCCAACAGTATATAAAAATAATACAACATTATGAACATGTTGGATTTATTACAGGAAAGCAAGGTTGTTTTAATACTAGAAAATCAGTTAATGTAATTCACCAGAATAAGAGATTTAACAAGGAAGCAATATAATCACCTAAGTAGATAAAACTAAAAAATTCATTCATAATTTTTTTAAATGACAAATAAGCCAAATATTTTAACCTTGTAAAGAAAATCTTACAACTAACCTCAGTTAATTACATCTTCAATGGTAAAATATTAAAAGCATTATTCTGAGGGTCAAAACAAGGAAAACATTTTCTTATCTTTAAACTAGTCACCCCAATAAATTCAATGAAAAGTAAAATAAAATGCTGTACCTTTTCAAAAAATAAAATATTATTTCTATATTTTTAAAAGTAGCATTGTTTTACAGTTTTGAAAATCACACGAATGACCGCTTACTAGTAGACAGCTAAATTCTTATATCTGAATATTTTTTAATGTTTAAAATTTAAAAATTTTATTGTGGTCAGAGCACAACATGAGATGTACCCTCTTGAAACACTTTTAAGTGCACGGCACAGGACTGTTAACTCCGGGCACAGTGTCCACAGCAGGTCTCTTGAACTTATCTGTCTTGTGTAACTGAAGGTATACAGTCACTGAAGAGTAACTCCGCGTCTCTACCCTCAACCCCTGGAACCAGCATTCTACTCTCCATTTCCAACATTCCTCGTCTTTTTTCATATATATGTATGTATGTATACACACACACACACACACACACACACACACACACACACACACAAACTAGAACCTTTAAGGAAAAGATTAATAAAATATGTAATGGTGATTTTTTTTCTTGTTTTTTTTACACAATTAAAACTAGCTTAAAGATCAGGAAATCTTTACCTTCTAATAAGTTCCCAGGTGCTGCTGCTGCTGGTCCCAAAGGTACACGTGGAGAACCACTGCTCTATAGAATAAGTCAGTTAAATCGATTTCCTTACTAGAGTATAAACAACTGTTTCTGAACGTCAACAGAATGCTTGAATGCAGCCGCATCTTAGGAGGGCCAAGCCCTGCTCCTGAGCACCTGTGGTTTTGTGGTGGCCTCCCCGGCTCACTCCTGCGATACTGCAGGAATACCGCAGACTTGGGCAGAGCCTAAGGTTGAGACAATGGCCCGGCCGGGCGTGGCTCAGCGGTTGAGCGTCGACCTAGGATCCAAGCGATCGGGGTTCGATTCCCGGTCAGGGCACATGCCTGGGTTGTGGGCTTGATCAATGACTCTCATCATTGATGTTTCTATCTCTCTCTCTCTCTCCCTCTCCTTTCCTCTCTCTGAAATCAATAAAGATATATTTTTTTTAAAAAAGATTGAGACAATGCTTCTAACTAATAATGTTACAGTTTATTCCTATAGTGCATAGATCTTCCAACTATGTAGAACCATGATGAATTTTCTTTCATGTTGAAAAACAATCACGCTCATAGGGCTAAATGAGAATTTTGAGAGACTGTTTCAGTTACTGAAACATCATCATCCCATTTGGGGGGAGGAGGAGTGTGCGTGAGTGTGCGCTTAATAAGTCTTCTATCACGGAATGAGGAGCAGATTTTGAGTTTCTGTAATATAAAAGCTTGAGTTAAGGTGGGGGAAATAGCCAGTGTTTCTTGGGCATCACTGTTTGTCCCTATGACTTCTACTGAGCCAGCCTCAGGGGCCACAGGATCCAGAAATCCTGAGACAATAACATTCTCTTGGAAACTGAAGACGTTGCTTCCAGTGAAGTTGATTCACTAAGGCCTTTCATGCAGAAAATGGTGTCATTGTGATTTGTAATGTTTATAGAATCTCCCGCCCAGTGTAAAGTTCTTATATTAGCAAAGGAAAGAAAGTCTGGTCTGTAATAGTTATTTCCTCTTTATTATTCCTTGAAATAGGAAGGAAGGAAGGAAGGAAGGAAGGAAGGAAGGAAGGAAGGAAGGAAGGAAG